GACGGACGGAGAGAAAGACAGACAGATGGACAGAGAGATAAACCGACAGACAGATGGACGGACGGACGGAAAGACAGACAGACAGACGGAGAGAAAGACCGACAGATGTACGGAGAGACAGACAGACAGACAGACAGACAGACATACGGACGGAGAGAAGGACAGACAGATGGACAGAGAGATAAACCGACAGACAGATGGACAGAGAGATAAACCGACAGACAGATGGACAGAGAGATAAACCGACAGACAGATGGACAGAGAGATAAACCGACAGACAGATGGACAGAGAGATAAACCGACAGACAGATGGACAGAGAGATAAACCGACAGACAGATGGACAGAGAGATAAACCGACAGACAGATGGACAGAGAGATAAACCGACAGACAGATGGACGGACGGACGGAAAGACAGACAGACAGACGGAGAGAAAGACCGACAGATGTACGGAGAGACAGACAGACAGACAGACAGACAGACATACGGACGGAGAGAAGGACAGACAGATGGACAGAGAGATAAACCGACAGACAGATGGACAGACAGACAGACAGACGGAGAGAAAGACAGACAGATGGACAGAGAGATAAACCGACAGACAGATGGACGGACGGACGGAAAGACAGACAGACAGACGGAGAGAAAGACCGACAGATGTACGGAGAGACAGACAGACAGACGGACGGAGAGAAAGACAGACAGATGGACAGAGTGATAAACCGACAGACAGATGGACGGACGGACGGAAAGAAAGACAGACAGATGTACGGACGGACGGAGAGACAGACAGACAGACAGACAGACAGACATACGGACGGAGAGAAGGACAGACAGATGGACAGAGAGATAAACCGACAGACAGATGGACAGAGAGATAAACCGACAGACAGATGGACGGACGGACGGAAAGACAGACAGACAGACGGAGAGAAAGACCGACAGATGTACGGAGAGACAGACAGACAGACAGACAGACAGACATACGGACGGAGAGAAGGACAGACAGATGGACAGAGAGATAAACCGACAGACAGATGGACAGAGAGATAAACCGACAGACAGATGGACGGACGGACGGAAAGACAGACAGACAGACGGAGAGAAAGACCGACAGATGTACGGAGAGACAGACAGACAGACAGACAGACAGACGGACGGAGAGAAAGACAGACAGATGGACAGAGAGACAAACCGACAGACAGATGGACGGAAAGAAAGACAGACAGATGGACAGACAGACAGACAGACGGAGAGAAAGACAGACAGATGGACAGAGAGATAAACCGACAGACAGATGGACGGACGGACGGAAAGACAGACAGACAGACGGAGAGAAAGACCGACAGATGTACGGAGAGACAGACAGACAGACGGACGGAGAGAAAGACAGACAGATGGACAGAGTGATAAACCGACAGACAGATGGACGGACGGACGGAAAGAAAGACAGACAGATGTACGGACGGACGGAGAGACAGACAGACATACGGACGGAGAGAAGGACAGACAGATGGACAGAGAGATAAACCGACAGACAGATGGACAGACAGACAGACAGACGGAGAGAAAGACAGACAGATGGACAGAGAGACAAACCGACAGACAGATGGACGGACGGACGGAAAGAAAGACAGACAGATGTACGGACGGACGGACGGAGAGAAAGACAGAGAGATGTACAGACAGACAGACAGACAGACGGATGGAGAGAAAGACAGACAGATGGACAGAGAGACAGACAGACAGACGGATGGACGGACGGACAGAAAGACAGACAGATGGACAGAGAGACAGACAGACGGACGGATGGAGACAAAGACAGAGAGATGGATGGACGGACAGAAAAACAGACAGACAGACGAACAGAAAGACAGATGGACGGACAGACGGAGAGAAAGAGACAGATGTACACAGAGACAGACAGACAGACGGGAGCACCTGTGGGGATTTGTGGGTTCTCCAGCTGTACTGGTGACTCTGGTTGCTCTGCAGCAGGATGTTCTCATCTGTGTCCACCTGTCCGAACCGCAGAACTTCCTGTGTGTCGTTACAGATGACGTAATGACTGAAAACCACTTCCTCCGCATCCAACACGCCGTTCTGAAACACAACAAACAGAGAACATCAGCTCAGTCATCAGAGATCGTTTATTGGATGTGGAAGAAATTTGACAAACTCAGATCCAGTTCTTGTGCTGGTCCGGACTCATGTGAGCTCATCATCTCATGACAGTCTGATGCTTTTAATGCTACTGCTTGTGTATACACACACACACACTTTACTGGAAACATCTCAACACACCAGCAGCACCTCCAAACTCAGTCACACCAACATTTCCCATCATTCTCTCCTCTCCCACTGAGTGTATGAGGTGTTGTTGGACCTGTAGAGTGTGTATGTGTGTGTGTGTATATGTGTGTGTGTGTGAGTGTGTTGTCAGGGGAGCACAGATGAGTGTGTGTGTTTATAGAGAAACCGTAACAGTCCACAGGAAGACACTGTATTCCTCTCACATTTACAGAGTCACATAATACAGTGATGAAAGAGTCACTGTCTGTCCATCACTTATAAACACACCCACTAAACATCCAGAACCAGCGGAACTCTGAACAGATCACGTTAAACAGCTCTATAACTCAGCTCTATAATCTCTGTCTGAGCACATGTGACTGTCTGTCAGGACACCGTGTGCGTATGTGTGAGCGTGTGTGTGTGTGTGAGAGGGTTTGACGGGTCTGTATGTCAAACAACAAATTCCAGGAACATGCAGCTGCTTTGAAACACTTTTATTCCACATTAGTGATTCTGTCACGCTCAGCAGAGCTGGTCTCGTCTCACCTGTCTCCAGGCCTGCAGCGCTCGGTCCAGCGTGTGAATAGCGTACTGGCCGGCGGCGGCGTGCAGCGTGGTGTCGCAGTGCAGCGTGCGGCGTGTGTGTGTGGCGTGTCCCCGCAGGCTGACCGGCTGAAGGACAGGCATATGTGGGGGTGTGTTAGAACGAGCCGTTTTAGGTAGGCGTGGCTGACTCTTAACTTTTATAAACAATATCTCTTTTGATCTGAGACTTTAGTCTTTGCAACTTTACAGATCTTCTTTATGCACCAAGAGCTTGTAACACTCCAAAGAGAAAGGAACAATTGAAATCGCATCATATGACCCCTTTAATAAGTTTTGATTCATTTTATTTAAAATAATTATTAATTTCAATGTTACATTTTTTTTTAATTTTACAAAAATTTCAGTAAGTGTTTTTGTTTTTATAGTATTTATTTTACAGTTATTTCTTCATTTTTTCATTTTTATGACTGAAATAATAATTAGCTTTTCATCAACTTATGAACCTCAGCTTGGGAGACTCTCACTTTACCTTACCCTAAATAATGTAAATAATGACAATATTTTCTGACATACACAAACAAACTTTGTTTACTTTATTTTTACACCAGTTTTACAAATGAGGACGTCCCCAACGGGAGGTTTTTGGAGATTTTGTCAGGTTTTGGGTACAAATTTGTCCCCAAAATATGGTTAAGTAGGTACACTCGCACACACACACACCTGTGCCCAGTTGATCCAGGTTGTGACAGAAGTGCAGCTCCAGGTACACCAGTCGTATGGAGACGCCCACTGAAGGCACGAACCACGGCGCGAAACACGAGTCCACACGCGTACACGCAGCCAGAGCGGTGGGACACACCAGCTGCTCACAGGGCACCTGATTCACTGTCTGAACTACACACACACACACGGTTACACAACGACACACTCGCCTCTAAAACACACCAGAAACACACACATTTAAAACACACTAACCTCTCGTCTCCACCGTCACTGGTGCTGTTGAGCACCACTCTCCAGAGGTCAGAGGTCACCAGGTCAGTCTGGCGTGTGTCGGGGGTCAGAGTGGGCAGGGTCAGCTCACACACACTGCTCTCTGATAGGCTGAACTCTCTATACGGCACAAATGCCCGCTGCAGCTCGTCCCAGAACTCCAGACTGCAGGGCACCTACAGACAGACACACACACACACACACACACAGACAGACAGAGATAAGGTTTATCAGTTTTAAAGAGCTTCTGAGGTGAAGGACTGATGCTCCAGCAGATGAAAGAAACACTGATGATCATGAGAAGCTGCTGCAGGAGAACATGAGGAAGTGTGACACAAAACTAAAGAATGAAAGAGAAGAGAATCTTCTCAGTCATCGACACACATATGCACACACTGTCTTACTGCTCAAACACACCGTCTCTCTTTTAGTCTGACTGTCTCTGTAATAAAATCTATTTCTCCAAATCAAATCACTCACCTGCAGCACCAATGCATCACTCACCTGCAGCACTAATGCAGCGCTCACCTGCGACACTAATGCAGCGCTCACCTGCAGCACTAAAGCAGCGCTCACCTGCAGCACTAATGCAGCGCTCACCTGCAGCACTAATGCAGCGCTCACCTGCGACACTAATGCAGCGCTCACCTGCAGCACTAATACAGCGCACACCTGCAGCACTAATGCAGCGCTCACCTGC